AATCTCAGGAAAAACAATGTAAAGATATATACACATATTTATATATTTTCAAGATATAAAAAATAAAATGAAAATTTTAGAAAAAAAATTATATAAAAAATACAATGAATGAGCTTAACAACAGAAGAGAGATCAGAAAAAGAATCAGTAAACAGGAGAGAAAAAAGACTGACGAAAAGAAAATGAACAGAATCTGAGACATGTGGGATATCTAACATTCATGTCATCAGTTTCAAAAGAGAAAGGAGGTGGGACTGAAAAAACATTCCAGAAATAATGGCCTAAATTTTCCCAAATTTAGCAAGAACCATAAACCTACATATTCAAAAAACTGATCCAAACAAGATAAAACTCCCCCAAAATCCATACCAAAACACATTATAGTCAAACTTCTCAAAACTAAGAACAAAGAAAGCAGCTAGAAACAAACAATGCACTGCATACAACATGGGGGAAAAATTTAAATGGTAGCAGATTGTCCTCAGAAACCATAAATGAGGCCAAAAAAATAGCAAACACTTGCCAAATGTTCAAAGAAATATCAACTCAGAATTCTACACTAGTGAAAATATCCTCCAGAAATGAAGAAGAAATCAAGACATTCTCAGATGAAGGAAAACAGAATTTGTTGCCAGCTGATCTATCCTAAGAGGATGGCAAAAGGAAGTTCACTAAACAAAAAGTAAACAATAAAAAAAGGAATCTTGAAATATCAGGAGGTAAGAAAATATGGTGAGAGCAGAAATACATGTAAATATAATAAACTTTTCTTCACATCTTGACTTTTCTAACAAGTCTGACAGCTGAAGCAAAATTTCTAACGGCATCTAATGCAGTCCTTGTATATAAAAGAAATGTGAACGCTTGACTATGAAAAATATGTATTTATGAATAACGTAATAACTAGACCCACCGCTAAAAAAAGAAATACAAAGAGATACACTCAAGAAACATTATAGATAAATCAAAATGCAATTTTTGGGGCAACTGGGTGGCTGAGTTGGTTAAATAAGCATCCAACTCTTGGTTTGGGCTCACGTCATCATGTCGGGGTCATGAGATCGAGCCTCACCTCGGCTCTGCTCTCTGCAGAGTCTGCTTTGGATTCTTACTCTCCCTCTGCCCCTCCCCCGACTCACACACACTCTCTTCCCCTCTCTAAAATAAATGAATCTTTTTAAAAAAATGCAATTTTAAAACCTGTTCAAATAACTCACAAAAAGCTTAAGTAAAAGAACAGAGAAATTAAAACAGAACTAAAGGAAAACAAAAAACAAAATGGCATACTTAAACCTAACATATCAAAAATTACATTAAATGTAAATGGTCTAAATATACTAGCTACGAGATGGAGGTTTGTCAGATGTACAGGGAGAGATGACCCAATTATATGCTGCCTATGAGAAACTCACTTCAAATGTAATGGTATATGCAGCTTGAAAGAAAAAAGATGGGAAGAGGCACCATGCAAACAATAAAAAGTAAGCAGAAGTGGCTATATCAGTGTCAGATAGAGCAGACATCAGACAGAAGAAAATTACCAGAAACAGAAAGGGACATTACATTATAATACAGTTAATCCAGCAAGAAAATATAAAAAAGAGTTGCATATATAAATTAGACAACTTATATGAAAAGGACCAATTCCTCAAAAAGTACAAATTACTACAACCCACTCAATATGAAATAGAGAATAAATAGTCCTATAACTATTAAGAAAATAGAATTTATAATTAAAACTGAGGGTTCTAGAGGGGAGGGGGGTGGGGGGATGGGTTAGCCTGGTGATGGGTATTAAAGAGGGCACATTCTGCGTGGAGCACTGGGTGTTATGCACAAACAATGAATCATGGAACACTGCATCAAAAACTAATGATGTAATGTATGGTGGTTAACATAACAATAAAAAAATTATTAAAAAAAAAAAGAATTTATAATTAAAAATATCCCAAAAAGAAATCTTCAGGCCCAGACTGTTTCATTGGAGATTTCTACCAAATATTTAAAAAGAATTAACACCAATTCTATGTGATCTCTTCTAGAAAAAAGAAGAGCAGGGAACACTTCCCAAAACTCATTCTGTAAGGCCAGTATTACCCAATATCAAAATAAGAGTACAAAAAAAAAAAAAACTACAGACCAACATCCTTCATGAATACAGATGCAAAAATTTTTAATAATATTAACAAACAGAATTCAGCAATAAATGAAAAGAATTATACACCCCAACTAAATGAAGTTTATTCCAGGGATGCAAGGCTGGTTCAGTATTTGAAAATCAATCAGTATGATCCATATTAGCAGGTTAAAAAAAAAAAATCACATGACCATATCAATTGATGCAGAAAAAGTATTTGACAAAATCCAACACCTATTCATGATTTAAAAAAAAAAAACTGTCAGAAAACTAGAAATGGAGGGAACTTCCTCAATTTATTGTAGAACATCCTCAAAAACCTACAGCTAACATCAGACATAATGTAGAAAAACTGAATGCATTCCCCCTAAAATCAGGAATAAGGCAAGGATGCCTGCTCTCACCACTGCTATTCAACATAATATTAGAAATTCCAACCTGGGAAAGGAAACAGGTGGCACACAGACTGGAAAGGAAGAAGTAAAACTCTCCCTATTTGTAAATGACATGGTTGTCTATGTAGTATATCCCAGAGAAGTACAAAAAAATACTTCTAGAACCAGTAAGTGAGCTTAGTAAGTTCATAAGCTACAAGATCAACAAACAAAAATCAATAAACTTGGGGAAATTGAAATTTAAAATACAATACCATAGACAAAGATTCAAAAAAAAAGAAATACTTAATAGTAAATCTAATAAAACATGAACAAGATTTTTATATTGAAACTACAAAATGCTGGTGAAAAGATCAAAGAGCATCTAAATAGAGACAGTCCATTCATTGATTGGAAAACTCAACATAATAAAGATGTCAATTCTCCCCCAATAAACCTGATACAGAAGTTTAAAACAATTTCTATCAAAATCTATCAAGACTTTGTTGTAGATTTAAACACTTCATATAGAAAGGAAATGGAATGAGAACAGTTAAGGGAATTCTGAGAAGAAAGAATAAAGTGGGGGATCAGTCTATCCAATCTCAAGACTTTTTATACAGCTACAGTAATCAAGTCTGTGTGGTGTCAGAAGAAGAAAAACACATAGATCAATGGCACTGAACAGAGAACCGAGAAACAGACACACAAATACAGCCAACTGATTTTTAAAAGAGATGCAAAAGCAATTCCAGAAAGGACTAAAAGTCTTTTCAACAAATTGTAGTGGAACAGACATCCATATTCAAAAAAATGAACCTTAACTTAACCCTAACACCTTACAAAAAATTAACTCACAATGGAAAACACTTAAGTGTAAACCCTGGGACTATAAAATTTTCAGAAAATAGCACAGGAGAAAACCTTAGGAAACCTGGTCTGGTCAAGTGTGAAACATGAAAATAAAAGCACAAACCATAAAAACTGAGAAACTGGACTACATGAAAATTAAAACTGTGAAAGGCATTGTTAAGAGAATAAAAACACATGCTACAGAACACATATCTGACAAAGCGTTCCTATTTCAAACATATATATAACAACTTCAAAACTCAATGTTAAAAAAAATAATTAGAAAACAAGCAAAAGACATAAGGACATTTTACTGAACAGGATATATGATGTCAAATAAGCACACAAAAAATAGCAATATCACTACCTATTAGGAAAACACAAATTAAGATCAGAATGAAATATCATTACACACCTGTTGAACAGCTAAAATGAAAAAACAGTGATGCCACTTAATGCTGGGGAGGATGCAGAGAAACTGGATTACTCATTAGTGAAATGGTAGAGTCATTCTGGAAAGTAGTTTGCTAGCTTTTCAAAAAACTAACCTTATTTACCATACAAAAGACCCAGTAATTCCATTCTGGAGCATTTTTTCCCAGAGAAATAAAACCTTATGTTTCTACAAAAACCTGTACATGATGAGTGTTCACAGTGGGTTTACTGGTAATAGTCAGAACTCTGAAACAACCCCAAAAGATAAATGCTCCTCAATACTTAATGAGGTACACATGCAACAATCTGGATGGCTCTAAAGAGCACTGTGCTAAGTGAAAAATACCAAACTCAAAAAGATCACATGCTGCATGACCCAATTTATATAACATTGTAGAAATGACAAAATTATATAGACAAAGAACAAATCAGTGGTTGACAGGAGTTAGGAAAGGGGAAGGAAGATGTGACTACGTAAGGGTGTAGAAGGAAGATTTTGTGAACAGTTTTGTATCTTGACTGAGGGGCTGATCACACAAATCTACACATACGATAAAATGACACAAAACCAAACATAAACACTGTGCCAATTTCAAATTCCGGGTTTTGATTTTATCTAACACGTAACAACTGGGGAGCTGGGTGAAGAGTACATGAGATCTCTACATATTATTTTTGCAACTTCCTATAAATCTTTAATTATTTCAAAATTAAAAGTTAAAAAAACAAAACAAAACAGAAGTACCTCCCACAACAGAGACTTCTATATGTAGCACTGAACACTTGGCACTTCTAACTAGGATACCCCCAAGGTATTTGGTATGTGATTTTTTTAAGGTTTTGTTTTTTCAAAATAAAAGAAGCATTTTTTCTGATTATAAAGAGAATTCAATTTGATTTCTCATTTATTAATTAAGTATAAACCATAAATCATCAATATCATATTACCAAAACAACTGTCATTAACATGAATCATTTTCAGGTCTATCTTTAAAACAAAATGTGAACATGAAGATTATAAATTTTATGAAAGAAAACAATAATCTGTTTTAAAAAAAGTTTAAAGAAGAAAAGGGTTGAGTACGTTTCTAATTTCTCTGATAGTGGCTCAAGGTTCTTTTTTATTTTTTAAAAAGGACGGTAGCACAGAGACCCCAATTTCCCTTCACTTGGATTCCAAAATGCCAAGATTCGCTCCCTACCTCAGGGGTTGGTGCGGCATAGGCTGTATAAGGAGGTGGGGAAGAAGCCACAGCTGTCTCATCATACAGGACTTCTGAGCCAACGTAAGCCTATGAGAGGAGAGAGAGAATGAAAGACAGTTGTCACAAAGCAACTACAGGCTCTTAGGATTCTATGCATATATATCCTTTTTATTCAGCAAATTCTTAAAAATTAGAAAGCAAATAAAACATCTCTGTGAGAAGCAGTGAACAGGAGAACCTCCCCACCACTCCCTTTCAACCCTGCACTCTGGTACCCTTTGAAATCGGGAGGAGGGGTCCTCTTCAGCCATCTGCAAGAGGCAAGAACAGAGCCCTCACTACCCAAGGAGACCAGAGTCTCCCATCACCCAGGCCTTTTCAAAGGTTAACAACCCTTTTGTTAAATAAAAATCCTACAGTCTGAAATGTAGCAGTCAGAGATTGTTCTACACACAGCCTGCTTCTTGCATTAAAAAAAAAAAAATCCTTCATTAAATTACTTCCCAGTGGAAAAGAAAAATCAATGCACTCTTAAAAAAAAAATTCCATACAAAGAATCATTTTAGGATCCAAAAATGCTTGTTTCACAAGGCTGAGATGCTATATATAGAAAGAACTCTGTGGTCCTTTTTGAGCCATCCCTGTAAATCACAGAACTCAAAGTGTTGCAAAACTTTCTGAGATACAGACATTTCTGGAAGGTAACACTGAAACCAGTGTTGCCTATATTCAGAGGACTCCTTCTGCCTTAAAAGGTTTGGCAAAATCCAGCTTGCTCTAATATCAGTGAAAGGTGCCTCACCTAGCTATGTCTACTCAGCCATGGCTGGATGGCCAAGAGACCCATCCCCATTTCCCTTTCCTAATCCCCTACTCTTCCATTTGTTACAGCAAGACTAGGTGAAAACGTTACTGGTGACTGCCCTTAGCAACTTACTGTGTTTGTCCTGGAATCCTGGAGTGTAAATTTCCAGGCCCTGAAAAGAAGAAAAAGAGATGTTTTATTTAAGGTAATCCAACATCTATTTCAATGATTCTCAAACCTGTGTTGGCATCAAAATTTCTGAAAAAGCTTGTTTCAAGAACAGGTCTTCAGCCCTCACCCCAAGACCTATTCAATCAAAGCATTTGAAACATGCACATGAAATAAATATGCAAAAAATATATATCTATGGTACATACACTATATAATATTTAAAGCATAATCTATGACTATACAGTTTTTGCTTTACTCTTTAGGAAGTATAAAATGCACCATACTTACTGTATTGCAATTTGCTTCATCAATTCATGTCACACACACAGATCTGCATTTGTTTTTAATGGCTACATAATGTTCCATGATGTGAGGTTTAAACTGTCAGCAATTTTTTTGTAATTGAAAATAATGCTGGTATTTTTTTCCCAGCTTGAGAAACTGACATATAACATGTAAGTTTAAGGTATATAATGTGGTGATCTGATATATATGTATCACAGTAAGATTAATACCTTCATTCCCTCACATAACTGCTTTTTTTATTTTTTCTGGTGATAACATTTAAAATCACTCCCTTGGGCACCTGGGTGGCTCAGTTGGTTAAGCGACTGCCTTCAGCTCAGGTCATGATCCTGGAGTCCCAGGATCGAGTCCCGCATCGGGCTCCCTG